GGACCGCCCGCGACCGCCCGCGGGGAGAGCGGAAAAGCAGGTGCTCGCGGCCCGGCCAGGAGCCCGGCCTGGGCGGCCACTTTTCCTGGCTCCCAACTCTGCTTCCTAACGTCTGGGGACACGACGGCCAGCGGGCATCGTCGCTCCGAGGCCAGGACAGGAACAGCGCTCGATGGGCACCAGCACCCCGCGTGCGGCCACCCTGACTTCATCCAGGACAGCTCATGCTGTGCTTTTTCCAGGACACGAGCCTGCGACCCTCTGAGTCCCTGCGGGCCACAGAGGAGAGACCAAACGCATCCTTTTTGCTGCTTCGTTTTATTTCTTTCTTTTCCTCTTCTTCTTCTTTTTTTTTTAATCATTACACAATGAAAACATTTTTTTGTGGTCCTTTACCATTTTCTGCTTTATTTTATAATGGGATTTTTCTGCCCCAGGAAAATACCACGTTGCCTTACTTAAGAGGCAGTTAATGAACGTGAAGGAAAGGATCTAAACGGTGCTCTGCTTTCTGTTAAAACGCATTTTCTCCAAGAAATCCTGTTCAATGAAATTTTAGAAGTAACTTCCACTTTAATAAAGTGTTGCCTAACTCCTTTTTTTTTTTTTTTTTTTGGTGGCTGGCCGGTACAGGGATGGAACCCCACACCTTGCATGTTAACAGCACCATGCTCTAACCAACTGAGCTAACCCGCCAGTCCTGGCATAACGCTTTATGTAGGTTTTCTTTCCACTTTTTCTCCAAATGTATTACATTTCTGTGCCTCAATCTTTTTGTGCACCAAAATTTATTTTGGAAATTTCATATTATTTTATGTTCTTAAATCATTTAAACTAATACTGTTTTTGTAAGAAACCAGGTATGTAACATTTTCTGCATCTGTGAACCTAAGAATCAAATTAATTTCAGAGACGCATTTTCTTTTCTCATACAACTACTTCTCATAGAGGAATTCCTTCACTCAGCCGAGAGAAAAGTAACAAAAGTAAAAATGAAAGAAAAATCTTTACTACAAAAGTAGTAAAACAATACAGTAATCAAACAAAAAATACACATCTTGTAAAATGAAAATGACTTAATACTTTATAACAATTGTATCATATAAACTCTAATCACAGATAAAGTTTGACCAATGTAAAATGTAACCTTATTTCAGTGTCCAAGGAAAACACACTCTAAAGTTAAAAAGAAATTCTTTCTTTGTAAGTTTAATCCAAACAAATTCTCAGCATTGGAAACAATTTTTGTTTTCTTCTTTAAGTAAGTTTCTCTTACTTTTGCAGTTTAAATAAATAATATATACTTAAAATTTTTTCTCTTAGTTCTTGGTAGTTGGTACTAAATAATTTTGCCAGCAAATTATACCCTCTGCCTTTTACCCATGTTATAGGTTTTATTAGCAGTTTTGTACTAACTCATTCATGTAATTTCTCTCCCATGCCTTTTCTAAGGCCGTCTGCTTTCTGGAATGCCTTTAGGCAGATACTTATTCTGTAATGTCATAAGAATCTGGAATAGTTCCAGAAAGATGTAAAGGAAAATGATCCACTGACAAGTTCATTTTAGGAATAAAATATGAAGCGTTAACAAAAGGAGACGATGAGCTCTGGTTTAAGAGAATTAAAAGAATAATGCCAAGCGCCTGCTCAAATACCTTTTTTTTCCCACACACACACACACACACACACACCCTTTCCTGTACCCAGACAAAACCAAAACCAAAAATAGAAAACAAAACGTTGGGAGTCTGTGCTCAGGAGGTTTGGGCTTTGGAATTAGACAGAACTTGGGTCCGGTTCTGATTCTGCGACCTCTAACAAATTGCCTCAGTAACCTCATTTCAAACATAGAACACTAAACCGTTTCAGATGCTGCAAGATGCAAGAAATGGGTGTAAAGTGAGCACAAAGTGGTGCTAAATATGTATTAGTGTCCTAATGTTCACCCCACTCCTGCTCCATAATACAATCCTAAAAATGAGTAAAAGACAAACGCCATTTTAGTAGTGTGCAAAATAGAGGAAAGAACAAAGTTAAAAAAAAAAACAGAGGAAGAAAACCACAAATAAGTGATTTCAACTTTAACGGCAAACATAAAAGAGGACTTGTCTCTGGTAAGTAACATTGAAAGAAACTCAGATCTCAAGTTGAAGCTTGTACTGTCTTAAAAACATCAAGATAAGCCTCCCCTAGCAGGCCTTAGCAAAAGAAGCAGTGTCTGCAGGAATGGGCAAAGTGAGGGGACACTGACATTGAAAGCAGTGGAATTCACGTCCTTACTGGAAACTGGATGCAGTCAAGTGTAACAATTAATCATCTTGTTTTTCATGCTTTGTAGATGTTTGGAGAACAGAAGTCATCCCAGTGATCATGTGGATGAATATAGGAAGTAATCAAGTGCACCTTAGAAGACACCCTTTCTCCTGAAGTGTTGTCTTTGGAAGCTGTCCAAGATTGGTAACGTTACAGAGGGAAACGGAGGCCTACCTGTTGATCCAATTCCAGAATACAGTAATTTTAAAGGACATCCACATATATGATCTCATTTGATCCTGCATAACTGTGAGGAAAATATTAGCATCCTCATTTTGCAGATGACAGGGAGATTAGACATGTAGCTAATTAAGCACAAACAGGACTAGATCTGAAATTATTCTTCCAAAACACTACAAGTTTCTTCCCATTACTTAATTCTTGGGGGTGGGGGGTGGGGGGAGATGATGATGGAAAGTAAAGACAAGTGAGATGAAGTACTGTAACTACTTAATACTGTGATGTGTGTGTGTGGAAATCAAAATTCAAATAATTTGCTAAAAGTTTTAGGTATACTCAAAATGTAAGATTTATGTTTTTATCCACATAAGATGGACAGGAAGTTATTAAAGTCACCCAGGATGTTGTGAGGGCTGCAGAGGAAATCTCTTGAAATTGACAAACAGGGCAGTTGATATTACACAGTTTGGGGGCATTTGTCGGAGGCAGAATACTGCATGGATATCTATAAGACATTTCATTGAATATTAAACACATTTGATTATAAGATGCAGCACTATTTTATGTACTACTACAGAAAAACCACTGCCAGTTAAACTATGATGCATACTTATACATGGGTGGTAGGATGGATTTTAGTTTGAGATGTTTAAATATGGAGAAACGTGCATCTTAAAATCAATGAAATATGGAAAGAGATAATACTTTCATCACTTTACATTTTATAACATACCTTTTGGATTATCCTATGAGTCAATATTGTTAACGTGCCTGTTTTGTTGAAGAGGAGGCTCAGAGGCCCTAAATGACCATTGCAGCATCCTACGAATCAAACCCAGCCCTCTCTTCAGAGCCAGCGCTGCTTGTTTGCTTGCAGGCATTGTCTTCCTGAGGGTGAGAGTCCACTCCAGGCTGAGAGTCAAAGATTTCTCCCCAGAAAGTTCAGATTTAGCCACCTAAAAAAAGCTTCAATAACTTTTGGGAATATCCTGCTTTGATGGGCTGGTGCCTATTCATTTAATAATGCCAAATGTGCAGAAGAGTAAAGATGCTTGTTTAAGGTTGGTGTGCATAATGCACTTCCAGTAACTCTTCCCCTAACACCTCATAGCAAGCAGTCAAGGACATCACTACCAAGGTTTATGCTGCCAGTTCTATATCTTTGACCCTGTCAAATAAATATGTGTGGACACAGAGGTGGTAAAGTAAATCCATTCGTTGCCCATAAAACATCCATTCTTCCCTTCTTTTTCTAACAGCCCTCAAATTTTCCCTTCCAGAGAAAGCACCCCTTCTCTCCATTATTGGACCCCCAGGTCTAAGGATGGGCTTTAAGGATTAATTTCATCCTCAGGCTATGGACCAGACAGGGATTGGTGCAATCAGAGCTCAAGGACTCAAGATGTTTTTTCAATAGATGAATTGGTTTCATGTTTGCCCTTACTGGAAATGATGGGAATGCATGTGGCTCATGGGAAGCCAGCCTGAGATCTTAGCCAACAAGCCAGGGGAAGACAGAGCCAGGGAATCACTGAATGACACTTGAAATCACACTTCCCTGCTCCAATAAATCCTTCTTATAATTTATGTCAGTTTCAGTTGCAATTTCTATGGCTTAAAACAAAAGCACCCAACAGAGATGATAAGAGAAGTGAAAAGAGCTCAGCTTTTAAAGAGAAAAGTAGATTTCAGCTGTGACTTACTAGCCATGCAAGATGAAGTAAATTATTGTAAATTCTTCAAGCTTGGCTTCCTGATCTGTAAAATGGAGATAAATAAGGAAAGGATTACATTACACAATTTATTAGTGTCTAGTGTAGTTCCTACTACATAAGAATGAGTTGGTAATTAGTGATAATTATTATATTTGTGTTCTAGACTTTAATACTAAAGGCATGCTTTAATTATGAGTAATTATTTTTTTCTGTAAACTATTATGTTAGGCTATGTAATATAATTGAAAGAGCTCTGTATCGGGAGCCAAAGCTTTGGCTTTGATCCTGCCAGTGAGTGATCTTAGGCAGTTCATTTACACTCTCTAGACCTCAGTTTTCCCCATATAATTTGGTGGTGTGAGCCAAGAAAATCTCTAAGA